GATTTGGGTCAAATACATAAATAACAAAAAATATGTGTATATTTAATTTACAAATGCGTATTATAAAATAGATTGACAAAATAGCATTTTTTTATTTTAGAAATCAAAGTTTAGACTGAAAAGCTAACTAAAAAAAAAATACAAAACTCGTAAAGCAAAAGTTTAATAGAAATAATTATCATAATTAAAATTATAATTAATAACTATTTTGAAATTTCCCCCGATGGTGTTACCCCGTGATATTTAATAAAACTAAATGAGTTTGACCTACGCTTTTATTGTGTTTTGATCTTTCATAATTAAGTAGATATTACAGCTCAGGTTTCAGATTTTTAACCGCAATTAATTATTTTTACAACGTTTTAAAAGTCTAAAACCTATCCTCCGTGACTGTTACTCTTTCTAGGTTAATCTATATGTTTTCAAATATCTGAGGTAGTAAAAGCATACTAAAAATATCAGTTCACTAAGTAAATTAAACACATCCAAAGCAATCGAATCAAATATAAAATATTATTAAAAATTAAAAGAAATAATTTTTATAACCATTTATGTAGGTGTTACAAAAATTGATTCTATCCTCCCGGAATCTGTTTTTACTTTAAATTTTATGCAACGGATGGCGCTTTAACCATTTTAAATAAGCAAAAACCTCTGTTTACGACATTATAAATTTTACAAATGTATTTTTAAAAAATATTAAGGTGTCAAAAAATACAATAACTTATTTCAAATATACAAAGGGATGTTAAAAAAAACCATACGAAATCCTAACCTCCGTGAAGCTATCTTCCGTGAAGCTCTAATATTCAAAATGTATAATTTCTTAAAATTCTTGCATTAGTGCTATGTTATGTTATTAGTAGACCTGGTGGCTTCCCAAAAACCCCATTCTAGACTAACAGTGCAACAACCAAAAATAAAAAATAATCATTTTCACTTCGGGGACATCTCAATATATTCACCCAGGTATAGGTATTTATTTTAAACTAAGAGGGCAGTTTCGTTAATAAGATTTAAGTTTAAGTTTTATGCTAAATGAGTATAACTAGTTTTGTCTATTTACATAAGTTAAAGTTAAATGTTAAAGGTTTATAAAGAGAGAACAGACATGAAGTAATTTTAACTTTATTTTTACGTAATGTGGTAATTAATTTGTTTTTATTACGTTATTCTTTTGGTCGCTTGAATAGTTAATATGTATAGGTTTTTAAAAATTTACGTTACGTATGTTAAATAGATTTTCGATACAATAGAGCAAAACTCGGCTTTGAAACTAGAACAAAAACACAAAATTTTAACATGTTGCAGATATGTTTATTGAACATAAAACCCAATGTTGTGAAGCGTTAAAGCATTAAGCGCAAATCTAGTTCATTAAATTAAAAGCTTAGAATAAAGTGGCAGGCCTATTTAAAATTATAAATAGAAAAGCGCGACATTGAAGAATAATATTCATCGCGTTTCCTGTTTTCCAACTAACATACAATTAAAATATTTAAACGAACGAAGCAAAATTTTAGTGTGTGAATAAATTTGTAATTTTAAATCTCATTTGGACTTTTTTAGTTGAAACATGGAACATTTGTAACTTTATTAAAAACTGTCAAATTTTGATTTTGATTTTGGTTTTAAAATCCGAAAGACAAAAATTATGTCACCAAAACGAAAGAATTATCGTGAAAATAAATATTATTAGTTTAGAACACAACACCTACTGTATTTGTGCAAGTTGCATACAAATTTAATTTTCGAAATTTTGCGATAAATATCAGTTTTAATTAAAATAATAATTTAATTTAACATGTTAACGCTGCGGTTCTATGAACACACGTAAAATAAACAGCAAAGTAATTAAATGAACTGGTTTTGATTTAATTATGGGAATAAATAAACATTGAATTAAATTTAAATTATATGGATTGTCAAAATTATAAACAGTTTTTTTGGTTTCCTGACATTTAGTTTGTTTTTTGTTTACCTATTATATCATGTTTTAAATTTGTACTTTTCAAATTGTGCTTTTGTGATTGTGAGCACCAAAGCCCTTTACAGATAATGATGTTTAACTGTATTTGACAATGTCCTCGTCATGTGCAAATGAGAGGCATCATTGCTGTGCAATTGCGTTAGAATTGCAGCGATATATATCGTAAAAACCGCAGATGGTTTGTGTATACCTAATTCAATTAGCAATCGGAAAGTATATCACTCTGAAATGACTACACGCAACTGACTGTTGAAATTAATATACAGATTTATTTATTTAATTTAATTGATAGGTCATTGGTTTATTTGTTTGTTATTTATCAATCAAACTAATCAAATTAAGTCAAAACATTTATAAATGTTTCAATAGACGCCTAATATATTTTGAACGAAAAAAGGTATCGAATTTGAAGGAAAACCATTGCCAAGGATGTTAAGTATACTACTTTTTGACGTCAAATTGATAGGTGACTGACTATTTAAGGAGTGCAAGAGGCCAGTATCAACTTAAAAGTTTCAAATGAAAGAGGGGCTTGTAATACTTCATTTAAAAGGTATCGATTCTCTATCCTAAAATTAAAAATCTGTTATGTAATGGTTGTTAAGATATTAAACGTTTAAATAAAATTATCAAATAAAATTTTTGTTTTCATTTAATTAAGTCATTATCATTTATAAATTGGACATTTTTATTCAAAAATATTGAATCATTTTTGTTTAAAGCATGTCTGTTAAATTTTCTTCCAAAAAGATGGGTCCTACACTCAGAAATTTTTTTAATAAATATAACAAAAAAGTTGTTTGTCTTAATAAAGTAAAGATCCCTATTTGTCCAACAATTGCTTTTGTTACGGCAAAAAGATCATTTTTATAAACATTACCTATTTATCTACAAACGCTGCTTTCAGTAATAGCATTTGCATTAATTATAAAGTAAATTTACGTTATGTTTATAAAAATAACACTCTTCCAGATGCATAAACGCATTGATAAATATATTATTATTTGTCCAAAAAAACAGTTAGTATTAATGAAACCCTAATGGTATTAATCATAGAAATTTTGTAAATTTTACAAATCCCTTTTCGTTTAAAATAAAACTTTTTTTATAATATTAATAAAATTTATGTAAATTCAACAAAAAATTAATTGTTAATTCAATAAACTATTTTCATTGTAACAATGGTCACATATTCAACCCACTGTTGGGTATTGGGTAGTTTTTTTAAATAATTGCAATAAAACAAATTATTTATTATAACAAAAAAACTAATTCATATTATATGATGTACAAAATTAAAAAAAAAAACTCACTTTTTAAACAACAAGTCTGTTTCGTTTATAGAATAGACCTAATATTTCTTTTAGAAAACGTCCAAATTTTAATTTTCTTAGTGATCTTTTTGATATTTTTATCATGCTAGATTTTACCAAACTTCACTAGCACAAGTGAAATCAATAAGATTATAACACAGACTGTGGATTATAAAGTTATGTTCACCAAGGAGAGCACTGGCCATTTCCCCTTTTTTTAAGGGAAATAACAAAAATTTTGTTACCATTGCAAAACAATAGTAAATATTAAAAAAGTCTTTTTATAGCAATACAATATTTTTGTTATTGTTCTTAACGTAAGCTATTAACAAAGATTTTCTAACTGAAATAAAATTAATTTGAATTACAACGGGGTCATTCCATGTGACGGGTGGGACACTTGTACAAATTTGTATATGTTTATTTAATTCATATTTTATTATTGTAAGCTTTTTTATCCATGGAACCCTGATATTTTTAAACACCCATAGAACATATAAATAAACAATAAAAGTTTTTTGGAATACTAATTAGTTTTATAGACTTTTTTAGCTTTATAAAGTAATTTTTTATTGTGACGGGTGGGACAAGCAAAAAATGATATTTTTATGACTAATTGTTTGGAAGCCAATTTCTGCTAATTTATGCCAAACTATAAGATGTTTAAATTTTTTGTTGTTACATAAGTCTATGTACTATATAATGCGTGATGCAATTTAAAAAAAAACATGTTGATAAAGGTATTAAAAAATATAATGCGATATTAAGAATGTGACGGGTGGGACATTATTATGTGACCGGTGGGACAAGTTAAAAAATAATAGGGTTAGAAAATATATTACTACTTTATTTAGTTTAAATTAACAAGAAAACACATTATTTAACACTATAATATGCAGTGAAGTTTTTGTTTTGAATATGCAGTTACACTATGTAAAAGATTTTCATTTTCAGCTCTAAAAAAATGTTGTAAATGTAGATTAGGTATGGGTTTTACATTCCTCCATTTGTCTGCTAAATTTGCGTCAGCCTCTTTTATTTCCATAGTATCTATGTAAAAAACAATTATACCTTTTAAAGATTTTTTTAAATATTCAAAACATTCTTTTGGAGTATTTAATTGTGATTTTCTAGATTTTATTTCTGACCACAACTTTTTTTTAGCTGCTGCTCCAACTCCATCCATTGCGCCTTTTCCATGACTGGTAACAGAAAATGCCCAATCAACACTTACACCCCAATCATGAGGCGCGTTACATATATTAGACAAGATATATCGATTTTTAAATTGCCCAGCACAACCGTCGGTAAAAATTGTTATATGTTTCAAAGTGGAGTATTTAATTTTTAAATGGGAAACTATTTTCTTAGTAAAAGTCCAGACTGAAGACTTGTCGTGAGATAAATTATTACTTAAAATGGCATACGAAATCTTTTCTTTTTCGTTATTTAGCCACACACAGGCAGTAAATATAGTCACCTAAGGATGCTGCCAATGGGCACTTTGGATTTCATCTTGAGATATTATAGAGAAATTTTCAGCGAAGTCCATTTGAAGGACGGCTTTTCTTTTTGATGATACCTTTTTACATTCATGGAAATACTCGCTTTGTTTAAGTTTAATAAACACATGTTTTTTAAATTTTGAATGCTGTTTTTCAATTTCCTTAAACAATGAAAGTTTTGTTCCAGTTTTGCTAGTTATTTGCAGACAATTTTCTGTTTTTTTCCCATTGTTTCCAAGTTGTTATGGTAAATTGATCTACAGATTGTTTAATTACATCCCAAACTGTCCAGCATCTTTGACAACTGCCCAGCATGCAATCTTCATTTTCTGTATTGCAGCACGTTTCGTTTAAAAAATCCCTAACCGAAGCTACATTTATAAAATCTTTTTGGGCTATATCAATTAAATAGTTAAAATTGGCATGATATCGACATACACACACATTATGCGGCATGTCACTTAAGGGTTTCACATGTTTGGGTCTAAACTCAAAAAATTTTGATTTACCCACTTTACAATTTAAATTATTAGATTCTACAAATATTGAATATGCTTCCCTTACAGTCATTATCATATTTCGTTTTGGAATTAAGGAACGTTCACCTGTTATTTTGTTTTTTATTGAAATCACCTGCTTTCTTCCAGGATCTTGACGACTTATATCGTCCCGTTCGTAAAATGTTTGAATTATTTTTTTTGTTTCCTCTGTTATTGCGTTTTTATATCTTATATTATTATTTTCGTAATTTATTTGATTTGACAATTCTGGAAGATTGTTTTTTATTACCTCGTAAACAACAAGTTTTTTTCTTTCTGGATTTTCTGGCATTGCTCGAGTTGCTTTGCAAACTGCTTTTCTTAAAGTCTGAACACATTTATAACCTAATGGATCATTGGAATAAGAAGTGTTTCTTCCTAATAATGCCTCCTTTTTTTTCTGTCTAGTGTTTCTTTTTCTTAATTTTTCTTTTTCACGATAAGCGTTTAAAGCTTCTGTATTTTTCAATAAGTTCTTTTTTCTTTCAGCCCTTCTTTTTTTATCCCTAGTTCTTTCATTTCTTAAAAAATCTTCATATTTCATAGGGTCCGTTTTAATTTTATCTCGACTTTTTCTTTTTCGTGCAGCTACATCTGAATGCATTTCTAAATAAAACATAGTTTTAGCATTACAAAGGGTGACAAGAAAAAACCTTATATTTTTGTATTTTATTTCATTGATAATTTAAAGAAAGTATAAGAACACCATTTTTTATTATTATATTATATATATATATATTAAATTTAGATGCAGTAAAACTGGGTTTTACCTACTGCACCCGCATTAATATTAACTGATAACAGATTTTTAAATAAATTAACTAAAAAAATTACAAAATACGCCATAGTGTGACGGGTGGGACAAATTATAATAATTTAAAAAAAATTAAATTTTAATTCTATAGACTTGAAATTACCCCCAAATATTTGATATTATTGACTTTATTTGCTATTAAAATCTGCTTTCAAAAAAATTATTAATTCTATTAAAATCAAAACTATTTTGGTTTTTTTGTGACGGGTGGGACAAATAGACATGCCAATTAAAACAATTAATTTAACAAATAATAACTTACCTTTTTTGATAAATGTTAAACAAGCTTAACAATAAACACTTACTTCAATAAATTTGAAGTTTGACAGTTCTTAAAAAGAGCCAGACCATAAATGCAAAGCCAACTTATTTACTTATATTTTACATCGAAAATAAATAAACGAATTAAATAAGTTTAAGTTAATAAATAAATACTACATTTTAATTTTAATATTTAGTTTGTATTGTTTTTGTTTATTTTAAGCCTTTAAAATTTAAAATTTAATATTTATATATTAAATATTAAATGTTTATTTTTAACAAAAAAGTTCAAATTTTCGTGGAATGTCCCAACGATAGAAATTTAAAAAAAAAACAAATATGCCATAGTAAAATGAACAAATTTTACTATAACAACTGCGCATTACTTTATGTAAGCGCAATTCACACACAACTATAGGTTTAACAAAAACATTTTAAGTTCGGCAAAGATTTAATATAAACATAAAGTATTTATTATTGCCATGACAATATGATAACAACTATTACTTTGTTGAATAAAGCTCAACATTGCTGCTTCATTATAGTAAATGAGAATTTTATTAACAGTAAAAAAAGTTTATTCTGTAAATAAAAATAATCTCATTACTTTGACAAATCGTAGGATTTGTCCCAATAAGACACTGAAAATTTAATAAAAAAGGTACCTTAGGTGGTACATTGTTTTATAGCCATTACAATTTTAAATTTAAGTTAAATAATATTATTTTATTAATCGCTTACAAAATTAGTTTCATTATCAGTGCATGTACATTTTTCTGAGTGTACTAAAAAACTTTCTGATGTAACAGGAGTTTCTCGGGTCACTTCTTCAAGAATTGATAATGACCCGAAATTCTTCACAATGTCCATGGACAATTAATATTTTTCCTTTATATTTTTATTCATTGCAATAACAAAAACGATATATAAAGGTTATTCCTCCATAGAAGATTTAAAGAATCAATACCTAATAATAATTATTTAATATTCTCTGTAAATGGTTATGTAAACAATAAAACAGCTTAACAAGCTTATTATTTACAGACAACGCTTATTTTAATCACGACCATTTGTTATAATACAAGCTTAACTACCTATTTATTTAATTGATAAATAAAATACATTATTTATATAAGGGTATACCCTCAATATATATATATATATATTGAGATTTCCCCCAAGTGAAAATGATTATTTTATATTTTTGGTTGTTTCAGTGTTAGTCTAGAATGGGGTTTTTGGAAAGCCACCAGTAATAACATAACATAAGTGCTAATGCAAGAATTTTAAGAAATCATACATTTTGAATATTAGAGCTTCACGGAAGATAGGTTAGGATTAGATAGGTTAGGATTTCGTATGTTTTTTATAAAACACCCCTTTGTAGGTATATTTGAAATAAGTTACTGTATCTTTTGACACCTCAATAATTTTTAAAAATACAATTGTATACAATTGTATTTGTATGTAACACTCTCATCTGCATATAAATTCTAACTGACTTTCAGGAATGCCATGCATCTATAATGTCGTAAACAACCTATAAATGGTTATACAAATCAATTCTTTTAATTTTTAATAATATTTTATATTTGATTTGATTGCTTTGGATGTGTTTAATTTACTTAGTGCACAGAAAGAAAAACTGTACGTAAAATTAATAAACTGCTGTCGTCAATTTTTTGAACATTAATATTATGTATTGGTGATTATTACAATGCTTTTTCATCATAGATTAATAACTAAGTACATTGAAACAATAAACTAGTCAACATTAAACGATAAATGCAAAACATCAAAGATTAATTATTTCCTTCATCAATATAATGTAAAAATTTATTGAATTAACTATTGACGATCATTAAACGATGTTCTTTATCTTTAAAACAATAAATTTTTCGTCATAGATCCATGAACAGCAAAACATAAATAATAATAAACTGTCTTCATTGTCCCAACGGTCACTAAACATTGATTTTACGAACTTAACCATTAACTTCTGAAAACGCGCCAAAATTAATGCTACCGTACGCTGATTCAACATAAACATTATTATAACGAATCGCTGTCGTAGAACGAAGGTCATCGCACTACTTTTGGGTGGGGAATTTTTACATGCAATTTTTATCTTGTTATCCTTTTTCTATGTTGTCAGTCTTATAGCGTCAAAAGGATAGTTCCGCGTTTAACCCTAAAGCTTTTGTCCTTTTTGGATTATTTTTTAAGTTTTATACCTCCTATACGAAACCGAGGTGTGTGAGCTTGTGAAGTTATTTTAAACAGTTTTGACTTTTTTGGATATTTTATTTTTAAGTATTAAGTGAATGAGTTTTTAGTTTTTAAAATATACACTTTTAATATTTTAAATAAAATAATTTAGGATTTCATGTAATTAAGGCGGTCGATATATGTTTTAAAATTATTTATATATTTAATCTTGACTTTTTACAGGAAAGCATGTTTTGGAACTTTTTAGATAGAGCATTTTGTAAACCTCTTTAGAGCCCAAAGGTTCATATTATTTGTAAATTTCTCTTGCAATAAAAAATGTATTCGCCAAAAACGTCTTTATTTTAAAGAAACCCCTTTTGTGATTGATTGCTGGGTAATTTGTATAAGATATTTTTTTCCTATTTCTATGTTGCTAAAAAAATGCACCCACCTACCCAGTAAACCTTTATTTTAAATAAAAATATAAGTAAATTTGGCAAATAATTTTAATTGGATTTTATGTAAATTTAAGTAAATCATAAACTAATGCCTTTTTGTTCGTATACGTATAGTATTAATACTATAGGGGATCATAGATCTATGGTAACTGTTTATTGATTCAATGTAAAATAATCATAAACTAATGTCTACCGTTTATAATAATAATAACATGCTTTCATATATCTATGTACGTTGTTTATTGATTTAACGTATTAATCATAAACCTATGTCCAACGGTCGTTATATTAACAACCGCTGTTCATAGATCCATGATCATAGATTATTAATTTAACGTACAGCATTCATAAACTGATGTAAACCTGTTTATCGTATTAATTACAGTCAAACATAGATCCATGCTCCTCATTCATTGATTTAACGTACAGAAATCGTAACTTGATGAATAAGAAAATTGACGAACGACTGTTCATTGTATTAATAACACCCGTCATCGGCTGAAAATTAATGTTGTCGTTCATTGATTTGATGTACTTTTTTATTAATATCACGTACCTTTTTCGTTCAGTGTGAACTGATATTTTTAGTATGCTTTTACTACCTCAGATATTTGAAAACATATAGGTTAACCTAGAAAGAGTAACAGTAACGGAGGATAGGTTTTAGACTTTTAAAACATTGTAAAAAATAATTAATTGCGGTTAAAAATCTGGAACCTGAGCTGTAATATCTACTTAATTATGAAATATCAAAACACAATAAGAGTGTAGGTCAAACTCATTTAGTTTTATTAAATATCACGGAGTAACACCATCGGGGGACACTTCGTGAGATTCACCCATAATTTCTTATAATAATCATAAACATAGTACATTGACATATTGATTTTTGCTTCATCTTAAACGTTGTTATATAATATCATATCAATTACCATTAAGGAAGTAATATAGGCACCTTTAGGGTATCAGATCAAATATACTAGCGCATGCCAACTTGTAAGACATAAGGGTCACGATGTAACAGGTAAACGAGCCGATTTCCTTGGTTGTTTATTTCATTTTTCTCTTTTATTTTTTTTGCAGTTAGTAACGACAGCCAAGAGTTAATCGCCTTTGAACTCGAGTGCGATCTTTAAATAAACGACTATATGGCCGAAAATACTTTGGCAAAATAAAATAAGTAGGTAAGCAAGTACAGCTG